GAGCTTTCTTTAATTTGGGGAGATGTTATAAATACACAAACAAAAGATAACTTATTTGCAGAAATGGCTGGACCCCAATAAAGTATTCATTTTAAGAATGGGAGGATTTATCAGAGTATAGATTCTGAAGCAAATATATACTTGTGCTGAAAAGCAAAATATCCCTGAGTGGATCAACACACTCTCAATGTGCTCTTGTACTATTGCTCTTTGTAAGTATCCTACCACTCACCTAATGATTCTGAAGTATTTTTAAATGCTATAAAAGAGTCAATTACCAGCATAGTTATATTATTGTGTTATGGGATACTTAAAATACACATGTATACATGTTTTCCTTAGTTAAAAATTACTTATTGGGTTTTTTTTTTCTGATTTGCAATAGAAGAATGACAGAAAGTTGACATTCCTCTGAAAACCAGTGAACCTTCACAAACCTAATGATGGTTTTCTCAGGATATTTGTTTAATCAGTTTGTTGTAACACACATATTTGAAGGGGAGTGATATCCTTCTCAACAATGTCCTCTATAAGGCTGAAACTACTACTACATTTGAAATTTTATTTGATAATAAAGCTTATAATAAGAGCAAAGATACATAGTTAAACCTATTTCCAGAGTAACACGTTCAGAAAGTCATATCATGCCTAACAAGTGATTATAGGCAAGAGATAAAAGAGGACATCCTTGTTCTAAATTCAGACCTGCTAGAAGCAGATTGCACTCATGCTCCAATCATCATAAAAACATGAGTAACTAATTATTTTTTGCTATAATTCTCCATGTAATCAATGTCAATTTACTGGAATCTTCTCTCTTAGCAAAATATCACTGCTGTTACATTCCTGAAAGTGTGAAACATCTTTGACCACACATTTGTGATATCTGGGCTGAGGTAAGACACATACTGAAGTATTTGAAGAATCAGATGTTTTTCACTTATTGGGATGTCAGAACTGTCTGACCCTGATAAAGGCACAGGACTGTGTGTGACTGGACAGAGTGTACAAAGACATGTGGGTATGAAAGCTTTTGTCCTACCTAAACAAAACAGAGTATTTTTTGACTGTCATCACATGCGCCAAACAATTGTAGTCAATAAAGTTCCTGTCACCGTGGGACTTTCTGTGTAGAGATCAAGCTATATAAATCCCCTAAATTCCCTCACCAAAACAAAACTTACTTTTATTATATTGTTTTTAAATTTTAACCTGTTTTGAAACTAGATCTACTCATGACCACTGCCCTCAGAGTTCGACTGAACAGTATTAGTGTTAGAAACATCAATCCTATTTTTAGATTTTCATAAAAGTTATCAATCCACATTTACTGCTATGAAAAATTAATATTTTGTTTTTACTGCTTACAGTGACAGGAGCTTATGTCATGAAACATATATTGAGTTTGCTAAAAGCCTATGTAAGTTGTCAGTTTATGTCTCATAGAGGCAATTACCTCCCATAGCAAATTCTCAATAAATCAGATGAAGTATTTTTTAAAATGAAGTATTTGTCTTGTGGAAATTTTGTAAAAAAAAAAAAACAACCCAGTAATTTCTAAATTTTACTTCGAGCTCTCTGGTTCTTTTGCTGATCCACTTGGATTGGAGCTATTTATTCCACATGTGAAATGACAGTGTCTGGAGACACAGGATAGCTACTTGTGAAGTTCATTTTGAGGCAGGTATTTCAGCAGTACCCATTGGTTTGTTGGTGACAGCTGTTCTTGTGTAAATGTAACTCTGCAAGATCATTAGAAAGGTAACAGCATAAATTCTCTGCAGGTGTTTTATAGAGGGAATGATGTCTGCCTGTGAGACAGATATAATGGCAATACTAATTTTATCTGCCATTTCTGTCTGATACAATATTTTTTTTTAAATTCAGGAACTTTTTAATGCTGATTTTTGTTTTGCTTACACCCCGTAAGCAAATATAGTTAATTCTAATATTTGAATAATTGAAGACAAATACTAAAAAAAAACCCAAACATTACATTGACTTTACAGTGGACAAATTTACTAATAAAAGTCTCACCAATATTATTTTGGACAAGATTATGTTTTTAATTTTACCATTTCACTCACCATGAATCAAAGAGAAGGGAAACAAAAAGTCAGAAACATAAGAGATTTTCCCCATCTCTAGAAAACCTAAGACTGACTAAGCTGCATGGTTCTAAAGTGTGTGGTGGAAAGATTAAAGATGAACAATAAGCAAGCAGAAAACATGAGGAGATGGCAGAAAATATCTTTGTTTTTGAAGGACTTCTACAACTGAATGCCCTGACACTCACATAAAGGATATTCATTGATGCTGTAATTTTAAAAATTCAAATAAACCTTGCAAACCTGGGCTGAGTTTAGGCATCCAATTTTACTTTATGTATGACCCTATCATACTTGGATTTTGATACAATCTGTATGTAGACCAACAGCATATCTGCAGTACAGGAGAGGAACCAGGAAATATGCAAACCATGCCTTTATTTGGCTACTATGACACATTTTTTTTAACTTTGCCCATGATGATCCCATGGAATTTTATGCCATCTTACTTTTTTTTTTTTTTCCCTCTTCGCTATGCCAATGAGAAAAAGAATGAGCCTGCCTAATGCAATTGTTATGATAGCAATAGAAAAACCTCTCAAGTATGATGGTACATTGGAAATTCAGCAAGAAATAATCACTATCTGTGCATGTCTATATATTTATGCATGTTACTTTGCTCCATGGACTTATATTTCGTTTTGTAAACCAAAACATAACTCTAAGTTTAATTTCTGAATTCACTGCAGTATAACAAATTATTACAGAAACTATGTAATAGAATTTTATAAATGCTATTAGTTCTCTCCAGCCTTTTTTTGCATCTGTAGCTCACTCCTGCAATCCCCTCCTGCTGAAGTCTTGCTGAGGAATTCAAGGGAAAAGAATGACTAATTTCAAAAGTGGAAGTGATAAACTAAGGACATCATGCTCATACAGCACTCTTCTCTTGCAGCTAAAACAATAAAATTTTATGCTAGTAATTGATGATGGTAGTATGGCAAAAGTTTACCACATAATGAGCTATTTTCATAGTAAATTTTTTAATTGTAGTTTATCTGTATTAAAACTACGTTGTAAAGCTCCCCAGCTCATCTACCATAAAACAACCTTCAGCAAGTGTTGCAGGATATAATCTCTGGATAATCTTTTCTGAAGAATGCATAAAACCCCCCATCCATTTCAAGCTGTATTACTACTTCATTTATAAAATCCCACAGCCATGTTGAACTGTAATCAACTTTACTGTGATGTGCTGCTGTTAAACAAAGCCAGTATTGCCTGCTTTCTTTGCTTCCTCCCTGACACCAACTACACCACCAGGATACTGGAGTGCAGCTCAGAGCTCATCACAGTTTTCCATTCAGGTGAAAGGTGCTGCAGGACCTGAGTGTGACCAGAGTGGAAACGCATGGGAAAAACACCCCCATAATTTGATGGTGTTTCTGTGCTACAGCTACCGAGGTTGCTACAAAGAAGTGTCATATTGTACACACAAAAGGTGTGCTTTGGTGAGTATCATTTTCTGGGGTGCTCCAAAATATTTTTACTTCAAATTTAAAGAATCTACTCAGTACATAGAGGAGCAGAAGATGTTGAAAAGAATTGTGGAGAGAGAAAATCTAAGACCAGTGGGTCTCCTCCTCAGCTGTAGAACCAACTAAACCCTATTGGAGTACAGCTGAGGATATAAAAGAAAAAATGTTAAGTGGGGAGAGACAGAAATCTCCTACAGACTAAGGAAGCTGTACTGATTTTCTAATCAGTATAATATTTATTTAGCCAGTATTAACTCTTTTAGAGAAATAATGTTCATGAAGGTCCTGGGAACACAGGGAGCATACAAAAATGTAAAAGAAAGGTTTGTTTTCAAATAAAATTATTTCACAGGGTAAAATTCACCTGCTGGTGACATTATGGCACTCATCTGGTGGATCTGCACCCCAGCACAGTTTGTTAAACTGTGGAGAAAGAAAATCTGTTGGCAACTTTCCATTCCAAAGGACTGACTGAAATCACAAGAATTCACATTTCCTGTTTCTGCAGATACTGGAAGCCCAAGGAAATCTCCATCTGTGTATTTCCAAAAGAATCCAGCTTAAACTAGGTTTATTTTTAATAAAATAGGCATACACAATGGGACTGATAGCACCAGATGGGTGGTCCTCCACTATTATTAGCTCCTAAAACAAGGCAAAATTTAAAGGTATGTTAACCCATATTATTCATAGGTTCCTAGAGTTGAAATGGCACTTTGATTACATTCTGTGTTGCAGTTTGAAACAAGGAAAATCAGAGACTGTGTGCCAAAACCAGCAGTGTGGTGTGTCCTGCAGGGTCCTTCATTAAGGTACTGATAGAAATATGTTGAGATAATGAGAATGCAATTTCCACAGCAGTATCAATGCCTACCCACATTCCTGCTTCTGTGTTAATCATCAGTGAAGAAAAATTAATCCAAATACAGTGCTGTACCTCCTCTTTGTAATGGCAAGAAGCTATTAATTCATTTTTAAATGAGAAATACATTATACTGGTACAAACTATCTGATAAAATTAGAACAATCAAGCACAGTATCAAGATTTACATAAATTCCAGTGAAACTGAAAAGTGAACAGAAAGCAGTATTCCTCTCAGGAATCAAAGGACACAAAATACAGTTTTATATGATTTGTTGGTATTTCTTTTAAAGAATGAGATGCCCTGAATTTTGCATTTTACAAATACTTCAGTTAAAAAAAAAAATATGGAACACCTCTGCCTCAACAAAAATTACTTTTTGTAAGTTGAAAAGTATCTTTGCATAGTCCCTGACATTATGGACAACAGGAGTGACTCTCTATTTCCACTTAGATCACAATTAATTCTATGTATGTATGAAGCTCTGATGTCATAAATAAACAAACCTGTAATGCAATCACACAGAGTATCCTGAGATATGGCATATGAGGCTGACACCTGCACCTCCTCCTCTTTGTAATGGCAACATGGACTAAATACACAGTTATGATGAGTGCATAAACACATGTCCCAGAGTTGCTACATTTATTTTTAGCAGAAAATTTCCTAATTTTCCTTTCTGATGTTATTGCTGCAATACAAATGGGAAAATTTAAATATATCTCCATTCCTTCACATACCTTAGATATTTTCCCTACTTAATCTAAGCCGTATTTTTTCTCAATTTTCAAGTAGAATTCTACAAATAACTACATCATTGCTTTCCCTTTTAGTTCCTGAGTATTTCCACCCATTAAATGAAGGAGATGGGGATGCTGTGCAGCCCAATATTCATATTAGTCATGAAGAAAGTGGGAGTATGAGAAGGATTCCAGGCACTGTGACTGCAACATCTGAGGTGGGCTGGAGCATAACAGAATCGCAAACCCTGTCATGTTAATAACTGGACAGCAGCTGCAGCAGTGACTCTGCATCTGAGAGACAGTGAGACTAATTTTAGTTTAAACTGAAGGAAGTTTTGTCCCTCCATCCAGGGGAAATTGCTATTGACAAATAGTTCAATGTGTATTGTAGCTCTAGTTTGATAACTGTAAAATATAATAATTTAGGAATACTCAAATGAAATTTAATAGCTTAAAAACAATTGGGATGCCATTGGTCTTTGCTATTTTTGTTGTTTTATTGATTTTTTTTCAACAACCAATATTTATACATAAGGAGCTAAGCAAAGATTCTACAGGCAGAATTTTTCTCACACAGATTTCTTTTAAATGTTTGGTTTAAGTAGGACTGAACCTACTGATACGTGATTTTAAAACAAATTCTGGCTTTATATATTTGTTTTCCTTTAAATATAATGTAAAACTACTGAGTATATTTGCAATTCATCTAGGGTGACAACAAATGTTATCTCTTCCCTCAGAAGTCATTATGCATTGAATGTTTTTTGTGAACCATATGGACATTAGTCAATTATTTTAAAACTAATCAAATATATGTTCAAAATTTCCTCATTTCTTTAAAGACCTACTTCTAACTGTCAGTTTATATCTTCTGTCTAAAAGTAGATTTATATATTACTATTCTATAACCATTAATTTTCTGCTGAATGTGAAATGTGAATGTGCCATGTGGAAGGATGCTGTACTTCTGTAGTTATGCAATATGAAAACAATGAGAGACATGGGTTGTTTCAGTCTGTTTAGAATCATTCTAGTACTTCACCATTCTCACCTGTTTCCTACTTAAAATATTCATTAAAACTGACACATCAGGACATGCATTTCAGGATGAACAGAAGTGTGAAAATTGAAACAAAAAAGCTTCATGCTGATGCTTTAGAAAAGAGCAAATCCTTCCAGGAGACTTAATCAATATTAAGAATGATATGGGAATCATAACAGATGAGAGTAATAGATTGAAGGATACAGCAGGATAAAAAGAATATTTTTCTGTCAGTTTGAGCTGCAGGTATGGAATACACTCAGATGCAGCAAATAATAACATTGATTTACATTTGTTTGGATGAACTAATGGAAATTCTGATCAAGGCACTGACATTGCCATCTTCTCTGTGACAATACAGCTTTATGTGTTTTGAGAAGGCCTGGAAAAAGGCCAGTAAAAATGATTGTACATTCAGAGCCAAATTGTAAAATCTTTGTAGTTATATAATTAAATGGAAAAGTTTCCTTTTGTTAGACTTAATAATGAGAACTCATAATGTGTGCTTTAATCTCTACATTTGAACAAATAAAACTGACAAAGTCCTCCTTTCCTGCAGTATTCACAGCAAATCAATCCCTGTAGGAATTGGGAAAAACATTTGGCAGTGAGATTCTCTAACATAAAGAAATAAAGTATTAAATAAAAGATTAAGTAAGCAAAAAACCCGCACAAAAAACCAAAAAAAACCAAAGCAAACCACAACCCCCCCCCCAACAACAACAAAACCTCAAAACCCAGCAAACAAACAAAAACAAACAAAAAAACCCAAATCACCCAAGGTTTTGAAGATTATTATGGCTAAAATATTGAGCAAAAATAATTCATAGTTCTGTACAAATAATTTACAACATATCCTCTTTTTATAAAAATGCCGTATTTCATTTAATAGTACTGAGAAAAGTTGAACACAAAGACTGACAAGCCATTGTGACAAGAAAGCTGAAGAATGAAGCTGACATATTACATATCATCAGTTATTAGGCCCTTTAAACTTTTTAATTTGTTTGTGAACAAATGCAGACTAGAAAAAACTGAATTAGAGAGAACAGAAAATACTTAATTCTTTCTGACCCAATCTATTAAGCCAAATCATGATTTTCTGCTTTAGTCATGGACCCCTTTTGTGGACCTGACCAAAGTAAATTTAGGGAAACAGACAACAAGAGAAAGTCACAAAAAATCAAGTTAAAAGAAAATATAAAATATATGTACAAGATAAATGTTTGGGGTTTTTTTGCCTTTACTAAAACAATATTTTAATTCTAATACAGGTTTACTGACAAAAGTTTTTCTAACTCATTGGATTCACAATACAAGTGTTTGTTTCATGTTAGTCATGATGGAAGTGCTTGGAAGCTGTTACGTGCATTTGCACAAAAATTTCTTAAATTAGCCTTAGAGGATAGATTGCTCTGCACTTCAGAAAAGATTATACTGTTATAAATTCACACACACATACTCAACTCTACCTCTTACGCTGCTGCAATTCTAGGATGATTAAGAGGTTACAGACCTCATCTGCATATATTTCTGATGTGTTTCTTACAATCAAATATCCCTCTGTGGTATTGTCCTACACTGCAATACACCAAAACAGGGGGGAAATAAACAGCAACAAGAAAGCACTGCTGTTTGGACCAACCTATATTTTTCAGAATGTTTCTCTCAGTGCATAGGAGATCTCAGTATTCACTAGACATGATTGGGTTTTGGCCTATCCTGTACACAATTCTACCACAGTTTCATAACCTGGGAAAATATATTTTGCACAAAAAACATGTTGATGCCTTTCAGCTTACAAACACTACTATCAGGACTCAGCACTACTAAACATTCCTATATTTTAATGACACATCTTGTTCCTATAAGATAACCAGGATAAAAGCTCTGAGTGACTCCAAAAGGTGGAGATTGCATTTACACAAATTTATACTATGACAGCCTGCAAGAAAATGAAACAGGGATGGCACACATGTTCCTGTATGATAAAAACACAGAGCCAGCCTAAAGAGGTACAGAATAATGGAGAGATACTGTCATGTGAAACTATAAAAAAATTAAAACCATGAAAACTATTCTGCTTCTGTTGTCTCAGGTTGAAAGATAATTGCAAGAACAATAGTCAGAATCACCCTAAATAGAGCTCAAATTGTATAAGAAAGTTTTCTAAAAAAATAACAGGAAAATCAAGACTAAGAACAAAATCAAGAATATTTTCTTCACACTTTGAACCAGATTCAAGTAAGCAGTAGTTTAATAATATCAAATAACACTTATATGAAATTTGATACCAAATACATTTTGACAAGGAATATATAATGTTTTCTAAGGAAAGAAGCAATATGAAAATTCTGAGATTTAAGTAATTAGATTTTTACCAGAATAAAGACATTGTATACATTGTATTTGAGTGCAGCATATGTTTTCCATATTCTTAATCAATAATTCACCCTGGACCTATAGGAATAATAGTACAATATTTTATATTTCTCACATGGAATATTTTTATCACACATATATTGATGATATATTAGAAATGTGATTTATGATTTCCTTAGACTGGTATTGGAATTAGAAAGATATGGATACCATCACATAGACATAATCTATAGAGTTTATACATCATATTCTGTGATATTCTCATGAACACAATTACAAGACAAAAAATACCTCACATGAATAATATGAGGTGCTCACACCCCTGCAGAGTGTGTCCAGCAAGACCAAATTTCTGCCTTAGCAGGGTAGTAAGAGCAGTGTGTGCTTCAGGACTTTGCTAATTCATCTGCAGGAGCAAATTTTGCATTTTATTGGAACTTTTAATCTTTTTCACATTGCAGCTTTGCAGCTTGGGAAATTCCTGAGCATTTCCAAAGAAAGCTGGTAACAAAATTCAAAAAAAAATAGAAATTAAAAACAAAATCCAAGTGATATGTTTTCAGTGGAAGAACTGGAGCACTCATAAATGCACATTATCTAAATAAATCTCATTTAAGAAAAGTTATATTTGTTTGGTGGTTTTGATAACTATTGATAAACAGTCTCAGATCATTCTTATAATTATTTTGATTTCTCCGGTTTAATAGTGGATTTTGGACTCATCTCTTGGAGTTATCTTAATGTATTTATACTTTTTAAACCTATCTCATTTTTTGCAGCTGGACCAATGAAGATTAGACATGGCCTGGACATAAGAATTCTTCTGAGAATTCTCTCAGCACCATTTTTCATGGGCAGAACCCTAAGCCACTACATATAAAACGTGTTTTAGTACTCTATATTTTGAAGTATCTTGTCTCAGTAGAGACAAGTCTAAAGTGGCATGAAAATAGGATTGTCATTCAATGACCTCTGGAACGTGTCTGCTTCTCTTCCTCAGGTCTGTGAGCACAGGACACAAAATTTACAGGTGCTCACCCTGAACTAATCAGAACAAAATAAATAGCAACAGGCTATTTTTATCAATTTCATGCTTTAGTCTATGAAAATAAAATTGTTTGCACATAAGGCAAAAGAAGTGGAAAACAAAATCAAAGTATTTGTCTATAATAAATGTAAAGGAAGGTGATCAATGAAAGACAGGATTTAATACAGGAAGAACAACATATATCTTATATGGATTTAATTTCTGTACTCAAATGTTATATTTATCAAATATCTGTTGTGCACAAATACTAAAATGAATCTTTTTCAATTTAACTGTAGATTGACTGTCTCTTAAATAATAATTTATTTGGAAACATATGAGAAGGAATTAGGATTTAATGGGATATACACAAAATGCTTCACACAAAGATTTCTAGAAAATTAAAGATAATAGAAATGTTACTGAAGGAGTTTTACACTATGTAACAGTGAAATTTTTCCAGTTCATAAATATCACAGTTTTTTTACAAGAACTGTAATTTTTCAAGTTCTAGCTTAATTTAAATTATTTTTTAAATTTTTTAATCTTGTGATAATTATGCATTGTTCTTGGTAAATAATGACCATGAAATTCTCCTATAAAGCAGTGACATTGCTATGTCTTCAGTGGAATCCCACAATACTTTCAGACACCTTGATCTTATGAATTTTGCTGAAAAATTAGTCATATGTCTGTAGGTAGCCATGGCAACAACAAACATTATGTAGCTAACAGGTTCAAAGTTAGAAAACTGTCTTCAGAAGAGAAAATTTTACCCTTAAACCACTAGCTTGATGTTTCATAGGAATAAACTCATTAGGAAAATATTTATATTGAAATAAGAACAACATATCAATGTGCATTCAAAAGAAAAAAATACCCAAGAAAAGTAAATGTATAGAGTCTTAAAAAATAATTGCAAACTCTCCAATGTTGTTTTTCTAGAAATAAAGTTAAAACACAAACCAGAAAAAAATACACAATGTTATATTTACAGTCCAGAGCTTTCAGAAATAAACTTTAAAAGACTGCTAGTGTTTCTGCTCCTCAGTTTTCCAGTTTCCTTTTAGCAAACACAGTGGAATGAATGGCTCATCTATCCTTCACATTTCTTATCGATTCATTAGCATTAAACATGAATGGTTGGGACACAGCAGCAGTTAAAGACTAATTTACAAAGACACAAACAGCATTTTATGTAGTAGGACACTAATAGAATAGATGCTGGTTTGCTCATCATTTCCTTATTACTGTACTTACATAAAACACGACCACACTGTACAAAATTTACATGATTGCTACAATGGGTTCCTAAGTTCAGAAATTATTTTCTCAGGTCTCTTGTCTGTAGAATCTAAATTTCATTATATTTTTATTGGCTGTCCTTAAGCATGTTCCTCTTCTAGTAAACAAAAAAACAACAAAAAACAACAAAAAAACAACAATAAAACCAACCTAAAAAAAAGACAAAAATCCCACCTAAAGAATCTCAGACCACACAAGAAATACAAGATGTACAAAAATAATTTCCACACTGTAAACTTTACGAAACAAGTATTAGAGATAAAAGAGATAGAGGCAAAGTAGGAAAGTATCACCACTTTTTACTACAGAACACTGCTGATCTACAGGATCTGATACACTGACCAGATAGAGACTATCATGACTTCTCACTGACATAGACAAAAGAAGACTAGAACATATACTCATCCCTGCATATTTGGAGAAAACAGGGAAAGGAGTAAGAAAAAGATACAAATTTCATATAGATATGCTGCAGGCTGTTGAAAGAGGGAAGGGCAATAGAGAAAGAGCTGTGGCAGCAGAACTGGCTCGTTATTTCCTTCCTGAAATGTCCTCTTACACATCATTCATTTAAAATTGAGAAAGGTTATGAAAGATTTATTAAGGATAAAAAGTAATCACTGTTTTCACAAAACTCAAATATCTCTGATAATACTTTGTAAAAATTACTTTCTGCTCTTTCACCACAAAACCAACAAACCACAAAGGTCCTGGTTTTCTTATTTTTAAGAATATTTCTATTTTGAGCAGGTTGATAACCAGGAGATTAATTCTACTCAGAGGGATATACTGAGTCCTGTTCATAGTTTTTTTCCCGGTAATTAAAAACAACTACCAAACAACAAAGAATTATTCTTTGAAAACAAGGATCTACAAAAGCACCAATCCTCTCCTAAGTGTAAAAAATCTACAACCCTAATTAAAAAAAAAAAAATCTTAAAATTATGTGTACATTCACACACTTAGAGTTGAACTGAAAAATTCAGACTTTGTCCAACCATCCAAAGATCTGTGAAGTTTCCTTTTGTTTAGCAGAGATTTGTATACTTAGATTAAACTTAGTAGAATAACCTTTCCTAGACAACTGACAAAATGAGAATAACAAGAGGTGAAAACAAAAGAGGAAAACAAAACTAAGAGGAAAACAAACTTTCCAATCAGCCCCAAGTCATAAAAAGAAAGAGCAGCTCTTTCTTTTGAAGAAAGAGCTCTGTGTGCACAGGAGATGCTCCCAGGGTCCACTCTCTGAGCACAGAGCAGTGAGAAAGGTACATTTGTTTAAGTTCCCTGACATTAAAGAGGATCAAAAGAAGGGAACAAGATATCTGTGGAAGCATACAGGGTAGGCAGGAGGGCAGCAGCCCACAGACATGTCAGGCTGCAAGGCTGCAAGGCAGGAAATAAAGCCCCACCTGTGGGGCACTGCACCGAGAGCTGGGGCAGCTGGGACTGGGAAGGGATGGGGGGAGAGTGGGGTACCCACAGGAGGCTGTGAAACAAATTCAGGGGGGATGTAGGGATGAAGGAGAGAGAACAGGCAACCTAAGAAATGGAAAAAGAGGCAGTGATAAGTTTAAAAGTGACAGTTCTGGTTTGCAGACAGGTTTAGCTGCCTGTTTGCACAACCCCAGCTATGGATGATTAAAGAGCATGACAGCACTGGGTAGTCATCAGTATTGTCTCCATGTTGGGTCTCAGTGCTGAGATGTCAGCACAACACTTTGGGCCCACCAGAAGAGAGATTAATAGCTCATATTTAAAACAGAATCATACTATTACTCTATGACCAGGGAACTTCACAGATCAATATTCCCTTATCTCACATATGAGGTATGAAATTCTCGCTTTGCGGGTAAAAACTAAGGTGCAGAAACTTTAATTCATGTACCCAAGGTGACACAGGATGCCTTTGGTAACAGTGGAAAGCAAGATATGTCACATGCCTGGGCTAGTGTCCTAACAAACCTCCAGAACAAATGCAGCACAAATTCAGTTCAGTGCTCACTTATACACTTGAGGTTTTCCCTCCATGATATAGAGATATACACAGTATTTTATTTAAGTCATAATATCTTTTAAATTATGCATAATTGTAAATCTTAAATGGAAAACTGTCAAGAAAATTTTGAGATATGAAAAAGAAAAAGAAAAAACGAGATGGATCTTATGTTTGCACTTATGCTGACCTTATTGTTTTTATGTCAGAAAAGAAAAATCAGTAACTAGGAATTTTCTGACAACATATTTTATAATGAAGCCCTTGTTAGAAAACACTTTTCCTATCAAATGTCTGATAATGAGCTCTACAGCCAGAAACAAGCACAAATTTGGCACCAACCAAAGATATCAGACATTCTGTTTGGACGCCCAGTAGATTTTGTCAGCAGATGATTTGAAAAAAAAAATAAAACAGAAACCCAAAACAAAAAATAAAAAAAGACAGCATTACAAACTAACTGAAAAATTCTGATGGTCTCCAGAATTCATTGCCATGTCCTTTTGTCACAGACATGGGCAGAAAAGACCTGTACCTTCCTCCAGCTGCAGGGCTGGATGCAAGCAGGGCTCCGAAGCTCCACGGCTGGCGGAACTGCTGCGAAGGAAAGGTGGACTGGGGATATGAGGAGACATCAGCAGGCAGAATAAAATGACAGAAGGAAAAGGATCTTGCTGTCACATTGAATCAGGATTAAACTGTGGCATATGGTAACTGCACAAGAGATGTTATACCCTTTTGGCATGGACCCTGGATACAGAAGTGGAAAGGGAGTCTGTGTTTAGTTATTAGTCCCTGCTCTGTATCGGGGTAAGAGAACTGGGCTGGAAAATAATAACTAGCAGTAATAATATTGGAATATACTTTTTAATCACTTTTAAGAAAAACCTAAAGAGCCCTTTCAAAAAAAGATGTCTATTTCTTGTTTCAAGGAAAATTTTACTATTGGATTCTCCCAATATCTCACCTCATTAGAGATTGTAAAAGGGAAGGAAAAAGTAATCTTTTAATCTTTGGCTCTGTTTTCTCCAGGAGAGTGTCCATACCAACACAGCTTTTGAAGGCAGAGCACCACTGCACCTGAGACTCTTTAAATGAAGCACAGCTGGGTGGCTGAACTCATCTTTCAAGGGGCTGGCAGAGTGGCTCAGGGGCTAAGGCAGGAAAGAGCAAGTGAGATGAGAAGTTAACCAAGCCAAAATTTCACTGGAAAGTCTGGTTCCTCCATCTGTCTGCTGCTTAACTGCAGCATGTTTCATGTTCACTTCAGTAGTTATGGACATTCTTTAAGAAGTAACTCCAATCATTTTAGTGGCACTAACTTTCTAGCAAGATTATCTTATTTCCTATGGCCTGTGTGCTGTTCTGTTTCAGCAGGTGTTTAATACAGCATAGACAAGATTCACATTCACAAACTCATTTATTAAAACAAAAAAAAGAGAAAAAACATCTTAGTAATGTAAAATGTCTGAGGATAAAAGAAATAAAGAAATGTAGACAATAAGAATATAATTAGTGCTACGCGACATGTGGTGAGATTTCTGCTTTTGATCATTAGCATTCCTACAGCTTTTCTGCCCAGGAATAATGAGGATAATGGGGTGATTTTCTCTAACTGCAATCATAAGGTATGGAAATTAAAGAAATCTCTACAGAGTCTGAAATCTGAAACTATAAATAATAATGAAGGTTCTCTGGTACCCTGGAATTAACTAATGACG